TGTGCTGGATGGGCACTGCAGTCATATCCGGTACAGGCAACCTCACCTTGGCATTCCATACTGTGGACTGGTTTTTATCGTGACAAAACCTGGCTCGATCCATACTATTCTGGTGCTTGGATTTGCCAGTGGGTGATGTGAACTGATTCTGCCTGATCCATGCCAAATGTATGCCAATGGATAACTTTCCATGGCCTATTCTGGGCTGTTTCCATTCATGCTTCTTGTGCTTACTTGCTGGGTCTGTGTTCTGCCAAAGGAGTTGCCCAGGCTCATCCATCAGAATCTCTCTCAATGCCAGATTTCACACATGCCAGGGGGTCCATGAGCCAGCCCTACTCAGTTCACCTCCTGTTATAGCAGAAACAGTGGCTTTTCCTGACTAGCCTTTGACCCAAGCTGGTTCTGGTTGGATGTTTCAGCCCAGCCACAGCTTGTCCATACCCACATATGGCTCACACATGGCTCAGTAGGGGTTGAGACCTAGCCTAGTCCATCACACATCTACCTGGTCCTCCAGGACACCAGACAGTGTTGGGGTCTGGCCCAGCCTGGTGCATCCAGTCCCAGTCCACACTTGTGCCAAGGGAGATTTCAACTGTTTCCTGATCAGAATGCAGCCCCCATTCCAGCCCACGCGCTCCTTGGAGGTAGCCTTAATCCAGTTAGGGTGTCCCCTTAGCTCCCCAACCGGGCCTGTTCCCAACCATGGATCACATGCATGCCAGTGGTTGCTCTGACTCAGCCCCTCACTTGTACCAGCCTCTGCCTTAGACACTGTGGCTTAGCGTCCCTGACTTATGCAGACCAGTAAGTGCAAGAGCCTAGCTCGGCATGACCTGTGCTCCATCCTGGTTTCCAGTTTCGCTAGTGGGCTAAGGCTTGCTCAGTCCTGCCGGGTATACCCCATTCCATTATGAACCCATACATTAGCCAGCCATTGGAGCTCCCTTGCCCAGCTTGTCCGACCCCCAGGTCTGGACCACATGTTCACCAGCAGGAGCTATGACCCGCCAGGGGAGTTTCCCAAGTTCCTCCACTTGATCCACTCCCAAACCCAGTTCTCATACATGCCAATGATTTTTAGGCCAGTGCCCGGAGAAGTCTGGCCTTCCATTTGGCTTTGTATGAGTTGGTGAACATTGCAGCCCAGCCCACCCCGCACCCTAATCAGGATGCACATTCAGGTGCCGTTACCTTGACTAGTCCAGACTGCTGTGGGTTCCTTTACCTGTGATTGATAGCAGGCTCCTTGTTCACCCTGAGCTTATTCCATCACCTCCGCAACTCTTGAGCTAGCCAGTGGGGCTAGAATTTCCACAGGGCTTGGCCCACACAGCCCCCACAGAATCTACCCCTGAATATGGCTCTCGAGTGCTAGTTAATGTAATGGCCCTGACCAAAGTGACCATTCTCCTGATCCATCATCATGTCAGGTAACAGGATATGATTCTGCTGGACAAGCCCCAAGCCATAGCTTTTGCACAGACTGGTATTTGGTGGTCAGCATTGCTAAGTGATAACACGTTCTTCAAAGGAAGAGTAACTGTCATTGGGAATCTTTAGCATATATTCACCTCACAGAAACACATTGGGTTCAACGTGGAGCTACATAAGCAGCAATTCAAACCACCAAAATCCCAGAGCTCCCCTGCCGGGCGGCCAGCAAACAAAGCCTGGCGCCAAATGGTGCACTGGCCGCCCTGGCCCAGCTCACCACATGCACATGGTGGCTGGCTTGTGGGATCCAGGCATGAGACACCCTGTCCCAGGACCCACCCGCAGCTGAGAGGCTGCAGGAAGTTTAAACTCCCAGGCCCAAAGTCGCATCCCACCCCAATCCCGTCCACCACCCAATGAGAGCAGCAGGTGGGCCTGCCTAGCCCTGCTCCGGAAACCTCCCCCCTTGGTCAGTGTACTCACCCCGAAGGGAGCAGCCCCAGAGCCCAGGCAGGCCTGGGCCCAGCTCACCACGTGCACGTGGTGGCTGGCTTGTGGGATCCAGGCATGAGATGCCCTGTCCCAGGACCCATGAATGTGATTCTTGATTGTGGCTCCCAATACCAGTTTGCTGCTAGTGCAGACCCTGGGAGGCAGAGATGATGATTCACACAGCTGGATCACTGCCACCCATGTGGGAGAGCTAGACTGAGGGCTGACGTCTAGCTCCTGGCTCTGACTTAGTTCAGTGGGCATTTGGATACCTCTCAGCCACTGCTCACCCTTCCTCCTATCTCCTCACTCCCACTCAAAGTTATACCCAAAGATTCTTAAACAGGCCCTGCATTGCTGTTTGTTCTTCACTCAACTTAGTTCCTTTCCCATGACATATTCTCTATTCCATCTCAACTATGCAAATCCTATCTACTATACCATTTCTGATTCAGCCTAAAATAGCCCCTCCACAGTGTGGTCTAATGGCCCCAACTTATCCTTGCATGACCTTAGCAATGCACAATCACAAAGAAGCTCTCATTTCATCCTCAGAACATCTCTGCAAGGTAGGCAAAGAAGGCGTGGTCTTATTTCTCCCTTGTGTCAACCTGAGCCTTAAACTGCAATTTCTCTCCACACCATATCCCCTGCCAGTGAGCGAAGGCACAAGGAAAAGAATTGCTAGTATTCTTCTCATTGGGGTCAGGGGATTAACCGATGTTTAAAATTAATAAAACTATATAATTAAAAAACAAAAAATAAATAGACAATACAACATAACTTAATAAATGATTATTTAATAAGAGGCATGTCGAGGAAAGAAGAGACACTGCTTGATGATCTCTACATTGTTCCCATGCCAGGCAAGATGGAATAAGGCATGTTACAGGCTATGTGTCGGAGGAGGGAGAAGATGGGGCTGGAGAGGTTAAGACAGCAGCCTTCACAAACAGCAGACAGGTATATGATGCTTTTCTTGGAATGCATGCTACACACTGCTAACATTTGCTCAAATTTCTGAAGAACATTAGCTCATAAGACTGGTTGTTTACATTCTCAAACTGGTGTTCCCACGGATTTCCTCTGAGAGTTGACAGAAGAGCTGAATTGCTATTAGCAGTTGAATTGGTGTTAGTAATTCCGGTGTTCTCATTTTTTGGCACCACTATGGTTGTCTACCACACAGGGGAGTGCCATACTTTGCTTTTCCTTATCAACAGAACCCCAGCTTGTGGAGGCTATGCATCTCAGGGTGGCAGAAATCCTCCTCAGTTTTAATGGACTGAATCTGACTTGCTATCAGCCAAGCATGATCACGCTGGGCTATTGGCATGACTGGTTGAAAACTGGAAATATCTTGTGACTGTAGTCAGAGGTGAAGCAAGGAAGCTTCCCGTTAATCTTAAGAGGCGACAGAAGGATGAGATGCTTTCTCTGCTGAAATCTGGGTGATACACTTGGATCTGTAACTATCCTGTAACCATTACATGACAAACCTGAAAACAAAAGCCAAAGTGGTATAGTTTCAAAGAGAAAAGGTGGAAAACATCAAGTCCTTGAGGATACTGTGGAGCCATTTAATGAATCCACCCTTTCTCTGGACTTCCTGCTTCATGACGTTAAACAAACAGCCCAAACAGGTTTCTTTATGGTGTTATGCCTTGCCTTCCTGGCCTCAAAGAGCCTGTGACTGATTCAACAGCTAATAATCTACAGCTAAGAAAGTACACATTTAAGAGGATTTATTTATTTGTATTGTGAAGGCAGACCAACAGAAAGGAGACAGAGAAAAAGGTCTTCCATCCACTGGTTCATTCCCTAGACGGCTGCAAATGGCTGGAGCTGAGCTGATCCGAAGCCAGGAGCCAAAAGCCCCTCTGGGTCTTTCATGTGGATGCAGGGTTGCAAAGCTCCAGGCCATCCTCCACCACTTAGTTAAGTAGGAAGCTGGATGGAAAGTAGAATAGGCAGGACACAAATACGTGCCTATATGAGATCCTGGTGTTTGCAAGGGGAGAACTGACCAATTGAGCCATTGCAATGAGCTCAGAAGGTACATATTAATGTGAGATTTTCAGCATTCAAGGCTCAAATAATATATGTCATCAATATTTATATGCAGAATATCATATGTGAAGTTCATCACATTTCACTTGTTTCCTATATTTGTAAATCTTGAATGATTGAAAGAAGATACTATAAATGGCATTTTAGGGCAAAAGTAAGAACAAGGTACTGCCTAATGATAAGAGCCACAACAAAGACACTTGTCACCTTGTCTGGAGGGGACTGACAAAGCTACAAAATCTGTCCAATCATTAACCATTCCACTCCAATAGTTTCCTTCCAACACAATTAACACAGGGTTCTGGTTCATGAGGCCAAATATACACTTCACTTCCTACTGGTGTCCCTAAACTACAGGTGAAGAAATCTTTTTTTTTTTTAAAGATTTATTTTATTTTTATTGGAAAGGTGGATATACAGAGAGAAGAGACAGAGAGGAAGATCTTCTGTCCGATGATTCACTCCCCAAGTGAGCACAACGGCCGATGCTATGCCGATCCAAAGCCAGGATCCAGGAACTTCTTCCAGGTCTCTCACACGGGTGCAGGGTCCCAAAGCTTTTGGGCCATCCTGGACTGCTTTCCCAGGCCACTAGCAGGGAGCTAGATGGGAAGCAGGGCCGCCAGTATTAGAACCGGCACCCTTATGGGATCCCGGGTGTGCAAGGTGAGGACCTTAAACACTGCGCCATTGCAACGGGCCCTACAGGTGAAGAAATCTTCAGGCACCCAAGGCATCCTCCACAAATGAAGACACCACCAAAACTACTTTGCAAGAGAAATAACTGTCCCTTCACTGTTTTAATTCTTTCTGACACAATGTGGCAACACATATGAAAATAAACTTTTTTTTTATAAAGATTTATTTGTTTATTGGAAAGTCAGATATACAGAGAGGAGAAGAGACAGAGAAGATCTTCCGTCAACTGCACCAAGCACCTCTATGCCTGTGAGAAAAGCTCCCATTCCCTAGAGAGGGACATAGTGGCATTCAGTGCATTTGAATTGTTTTTTGGTTAAGAAAGGATGAGTTGTTTTCGCAGAGTATGCTGCAGCAAGACATGGTACTTCTTCTTAGCAGGAACTTGACTGTTCCAATCACACACTTTGCTGTTGAGTTCAACATGGAGGTCCAGGAGTGGGCGTTTTCTGGAGGTAAGAAGAAGTGAAATGTTAATGCCACGATAATATCAATGAGAAGACAGAATGTCATGATGGTAAAAAAAAAAATGTAAGTGCTTTGGAACTGTTCCTTTTTAAACACTCTATAAGCTACTTTGTGAATGATTTAAACAGGCTGACATAGCTTTGGCTCAAGAGACGCAGTCCCTTTGCACAAAGGGCAGCTAAGTTTTACTCTGGGAATACACCATTCACATGACACCCCACCTGGATCATTATGGATATAAAAGGCCAATCCTAAAGGATCAGGTTGCTCCTCCTACAGCAACATCATTATTAGGCAGAATGAGGAGAAAAGACTATGAGATCCATTCATGGGGTTGTCACAACCACACCCAGAATGCATTTGATAAGTAGCTTGGAAACAACCAAATTATAATTAGGAGTCAATGGAAAAAAGCCAGTTAATCTTATAGTTGAGGTACACTGTGGCTTCCATTAGCTTAAATAAAAAACAGATCGCTGATGTTTCCCTTAGACAAGTATTCTTTAAGTTATATTAAAAATAGTTACAATGCAGACTCTTCATCCACTGGAAAATATAACTCAACAACCCCAGTGGTTGCTGAAACTACAGATGATGTCAATCCCTATATTGTGTGTATGTTTTTTCCTATATACTCATCTACCTCTATGACAAAGTTTAACTTACAAATTCGGCAGTATAAGAGATTAGCAACACAATTAACAATAGACTAGCAATAACAATATACTATGGTCAGCTTCATTTGAAATGTATAATTACTTATTTCTGGAATGTTTTCATTCCATATTCTCAAACTGAGGTTGACATTAGGTAAGTGAGACCTCACAGGAGGGATTACTGCAGAAACTCACATTCTTGGAGGCAGCCCTGTTGACTCAAGGAACTCTGCCTCCCACATGGGAGACCTGGGTTGAGTCTCCAGCTCTCAGCTTCAGCCCAGTGCCGTACAAGCTGTCACAGATACTTGGTGAGTGATTCTGCAGTATTCTCTCTCTCTTTCTGATTCTCTACCTCTCATATAATTTTTTAAAGTTTTTCATTTTGAAGAAAAATACTTAACTGATGAGCTACCACAAAATACTCATAGTTACACTGGCTCTGTATCCTATTCTTTAGGCAACTCCAATGCGGAAGAAAAATAAATCTCCTTTCCTCATTGAAGAAAAGAACATCCAACCCAGCATGGTGGGGTAAATGGTTCAAGCAGGGCAAAGATCAGGCAAAGCCCAGCCACCTCCACTGGGCTCACCTTTCTTGTCCCAACTTCTGGGAGAGGACCTGCAAGTATAGGGAAGGTGAGCTGGGCACCTGCTCCAGCAGGGACACATCCGCCGTGCACAGGCTCCAGAAGAAGTCGGCTTCACGGTGAATGGTGGAGGGTCCCAGGTGTGGCATCTTGGGTTCGGAAGTTTTCACAGCCGGTCCATCCACCTCCAGCAGGCTCTCTGACACCACATAGTTCTGGAGGAAGAAAAGCTTAGGCTTCCCTACGAGATAAGGGCACGAGTCCCCCATGAACATCTTCCGGATGTTGTGCAAGGGAAAGCCCGATTCAAACTTGTCCACACCGAATACACTCTGGGCACTTCCTCGGCTCACTAGGATACACACAAAGCTGTCATAGTCTTGATGCTTGGGTTCCCTGGCAGCTTTGTCAAGTTCGCTGATGATGTCACACATACGGAGATACTTGAAGGGCTGCACTTTAAAGCCCAGAGAAGTGAAGGTGTTTTGAAGACCCTCTGGAGGAAACAAACAGGGAGAACAATGCTGGAGTGAGCAAAGCATGAAGGGAAGTGTATCACATCTATGTGACGTTAACACTGCTCTCCCCAGTTTTAGGCAGCAGTGGTAACAGCCACCTCACAAGACATTATAAGGAGTGGGCAGCACAAATAAAGCCATACTTTGGAGTGTTACGCACACATCATTGGAACAACAATCCGCCAAGTAGGATTTCAGACCTCTCCTGGCAATGAAGACAATGACAATCACTGTAATCTAAGTCCATAGTTACACGATGTCCTTTTCCCCTTTGCCTGGCCCAAAGTGGATAGTTTAACAATGGAATTATTGACCATCTAATATTGAAGAGGTACAAAGAAGAAGCTAGCATCCTTACACCTGTTTTCAGTCATCATTATCAAGGCATTGGGAGACTTGACTGACAGGCTGCTAATAACCTATTCAATGACATTCTTTCCCTCAAAAAATATCCACGGGACAGAAAAGGCCTGGCTGTGTTATCTCCCAGCCACCGCCTCTGATGGCTCAGGTGGTTACAGGTCAGAACAAGGAGAGAATCTCTGCCAGTCCCATCAATACTTCCTTGCAGACTCACACACCTCAGAGCATACAAATCCTCTCCTCTAGGGGGCGGAAGCAAACAGGGAAACATCGCACTCTACTTGGTCTCCACTGGTTCACTTCTCCAAGCTCTCCCTTTGCTGATCTTTCCTCCCTGACCAAAGTCCTTGAAGCAAAGCATCACCAGGGTCTCTCTCCATTTCTGTGACCATGTATAGAGATGGACAAAACAAGCGTGTTCCAGGCCTCTGCCTCTTTGCTTTATCTGGGCTCCTTGGGGCCCTGGCTAGACACAGTGAGTAGAGGGCCAAAGGAACCAATCTGAGATCAACTCCATCTGAGTTTAAATCTTGCCTGCTCCCTTCTCTGAGGGCTGAACTTGCCTTTGAAGGTTGACCTCCACAACCAGACAGACTAAACTGGGGACAGGATTCCCAGGTGCCAGGAGGAAAATCTTTACCTAACAGAACAGGAGTGGGGGAGAAAGAAGACTAAAACTAGAAGCAGGGCCCGGCAGCGTGGCCTCGCCTTGAACAACCCAGGATCCCATATGGGCACCGGTTCTAATCCCGGCAGCTCCCTTCCCATCCAGCTCCCTGCTTGTAGCCTGGGAAAGCAGTCGAGGATGGCCCAAAGCTTTGGGACCCTGCACCTGTGTGGGAATGCCCGGGAGAAGTTCCTGGATCCTGGCTTCGGATCGGCATAGGATCGGCTGTTGCACTCACTTGGGGAGTGAATCATCGGACGGAAGATCTTCCTCTCTGTCTCTTCTCCTCTTTTCTGTATATCTGGCTTTCTAATAAATAAATAAATCTTAAAAAAAAAAAAACTGGAAGCAAAACCAAAAACCATGAATGACAATGACTGTGACCCAAATAAGGAAAGAAAAACCTGGGTGCTGAGTAGGGAAAGTAAAACTTGACACTGCAGAAATCCCACTTCTCCTTCTACCCACCCTGGAAATCCCTTTCTTAATTCATCCTCATTTCCGTGAGTTTCAACTGCCCTTGAGAAAATAATTTTGTGATGTAGTGAGGGAGAGGGACCATCAGGTCTAGTGGCCAGTACAGGGCTGTGACAGAGAGGTCAGGGCCAGCACTACTCAAAGGTTTGGGGACTTTGGAGGTCAAACCTCAAAGCAAAGTACAGTCAGGGACTGCAGTGGGCTCATGTATCTTGGTCTAAATGAGGGCACATTTATCTTGACACTTTCTATTAAAGTCAGAGTGTGGGATAAATGAGAAACGGAGAATGCTACTCTGCTTTACTTATGAGTATCCTCAGTGAGCCCAGGTAGAATCACCACCAAGCACATAAGCAGAACACAAGAAGGGCATGGTGGTTTCCATGGTTACAGGGACAGGAATGAATGGGAAATGTCAGGCTGACAGGCTGAAATGGATTTCTTCACAGGAAAATAACTCAATAAACACTGCAATCTCCAAGAGAGGAACAAGTCACGCAGTCTTGGTCAAGTTTACTTGGCTTCAAAACTCATGTTAGGCTCACAATTATAAGCTACTTTATATATGTCTTTAAAAAAAGTGATTGGGGCCCGGCGCAGTGGCGCAAGTGGTTAAAGGTCCTCGCCTTGCACCCCCGGGATCCCATATGGGCGCCGGTTCTAATCCCGGCAGCCCCGCTTCCCTTCCAGCTCCCTGCCTGTGGCCTGGGAAAGCAGTCGAGGACGGCCCAAAGCTTTGGGAACCTGCACCCGCATGGGAGACCCGGAAGAGGCTCCTGGCTTCGGATCGGCATAGTATCGGCCGTTGCGCTCACTTGGGGAGTGAATCATCGGACGGAAGATCTTCCTCTCTGTCTCTCCTCTCTGTATATCTGCCTTTCCAATGAAAAATAATAAAAATAAATGTTTAAAAAAAAAGTGATTGACTGATTGATTGATTTTACTGGAAAGACAGATTTACAGAGAGAAGGAGAGAAAGAAAAATCTTCCATCCTCTGGTTCACGCCCCAAGTGGCTGCAATGGCCAGAACTGAAGCAATCCAAACTCAGAAACTGGAAACTTCCTCCATGTCTCCCACGTGCGCGCAGGGTCCCAAGACCTTGCGCCATTCTCTACTGCTTTCCCAGGCCACGAGCAGGGAGCTGAATGGGAAGTGGAGCAGCTGGGACACAATAAGCACCTATATGGGATTTTAGTCAGTAGGCTATCACACCAGGTCCTATATGTCTTATTTTTTTAAATATTTATTTATTTGGAAAGCAGAATAACACAAAAATTGAAGGAGAGAGACAGAGAGAGAAATAGCTCCTATTCACAGGTTCATTCCCCAGATGGCCATGATGACCAGGGCTGACTCCAACCAAAATCAAGAGCCTAGAACCCTATGCAGGTCTCCCACGTGGAGGGCAGGGGATTGAGCACTTGGGCCATCCACTGCTGCCCTCCCACGTGTACCAGCAGGGAGACAGAAAGGAAGCAGACCAGGTAGGAGTTGACATCACAATGCCAGCCACTACATGACTTCTTTATTTTTTTTTAAAGATTTATTTTTATTACTTTTTATTTGAAAGGCAGATATACAGAGAGGAGAGACAGAGAGGAAGATCTTCCATCCGATGATTCACTCCCCAAGTGAGCGCAATGGCCGATACTATGCCGATCCGAAGCCAGGAGACTCTTCTGGGTCTCCCACGCGGGTGCAGGGTCCCAAAGTTTTGGGCCGTCCTCGACTGCTTTCCCGGGCCACAGGCAGGGAGCTGGAAGGGAAGCGGGACTGCCGGGATAGAACCGGTGCCCATATGGGATCCCGGGTGTGCAAGGTGAGGACCTTAACTACTTGTGCCACCCCGCCGGGCCCCTACATAACTTCTTTGTAAAACACAAATCACTACTAGTAGTTTCTTTTGTATGAACCTTTTTTAAAAAAAAGATCTGTTTTATTTTTATTGGAAAGCCAGATATACAGAAAAGAGGAGAAAAGACAGAAAGGAAGATCTTCCAACCATTGACTCAATCCCCAAGCAACTGAAACAGCCAGAGCTGCGCCGATCCAAAGCCAGGACCCCGACTCTCTTCCGGGTCTCCCTCATGGGTGCAGGGTACCAAGGCTTTAGGTTGTCCTTAACTGTTTTCCCAGGCCACAGGCAGGGAGCTGGATGGGAAGCAGGGCTGCTGGAATTAGAACCAGCAGCCATATGAGATCCCGGCACTTGCAAGGCGAGGACTTTAGCCACTATTATTATCATTAATAAACATGTCAATTGCATGTCAAGAGAAGTTTCTGGGGGAGGGTGCTGTGGTATAGTAGGTTATCCAATGTCTGCAATGCCAGAATCCTACAGGAGTGCTGGTCTGAGTCCCAGCTGCTCCATTTTCAATCCAGCTACCTACTAAGGGACCTGGGAAGGCCACAGAAGACAATCTTGGACCCATGGAAAATCTGTGTGGAGTTCCTGGCTCCTGGCTTTCCAAGGCTGTTGCAGCCATTTGAGGAGTGAATCAGGGCCCGGTGGCGTCGTAGCCTAGCGGCTTAAGTCCTCGCCTTATGGGCGCCGGTTCTAACCCCAGCAGCTCCCTTCCCATCCAGCTCCCTGCTTGTGGCCTGGGAAAGCAGTCAAGGACAGCCCAAAGCCTTGGGACCCTGCACCCACGTGGGAGACCCAGAAGAAGTTCCTGGATCCTGGCTTCGGATTGGCATAGCATCGGCCGTTGCGCTCACTTGGGGAGTGAATCATTGGACAGAAGATCTTCCTCTCTGTCTCTCCTCCTCTCTGTATATCTGCCTTTCCAATAAATAAATAAAAATAAATCTTAAAAAAAAATAAATAGGGGGGAGAATCAAGATGGCGGAATAGGGTAAGGACACGTTTAAACAGACCGAGAAGCATTTAACCAGAATGAAGCAGAGAGGACATATTTCAGGAAATACGAAAGGACAGAACAACAGCAAAGGGGTACCTGGAGACTGACAGACACAGGAAAGCAGTGGGCACAGCAGTGTGGTGTTGCAGTGAATGATCTAAACTCCATCAGCAGCCGGAACTCCATCAGCAACCAGGTGGGAAGGGACTTTGACTGGGAGCTTGGGAGGTGAACCCAGACAGGGAACTGTCTGTCCTGCTGGTCCGTTTGATTTGACCAGGAGCAGAGACAGAGCAGCAGGTCCCAGGTGGGCAGTGCGAGAACAGCAAGGATTTCATAGCCCAGTCAGCCCCCTAGAGCTGAATTGTTCGCCATTTTGCCTAAGGAGGAAAGGGCAAGGGAAAGGACTGAGCATGCTCTGAGAGGGAGTGAGCTCATTTCTGACTCGGTGAACTGCAACAACGAGGCATTCTACGGGTTCCATCCAGGGCAGGTCTGGGTAACCCTCAGATCTGTCAGCCAGCAGATCAAGAACTGTTGTGGTAGCACGTCAGGCGCCATTTTGCGCACTGTGGCAAAAGCTTTGGGACTGCAGGGGCAACAGTGAA